GGGCCATCCTTTCGGCGGTATATATCCTCCATTTCCTCGACAATCTCGCTCCCGACACAGCAGCCAGTGCATCTCAGGCACTTTCAGGTATCGAGTGAGATGCATCGAAAAGGCAAATCTCAGCAATATCGCTATTTTGCACTCAGCGCCCAGCAAAAAGTTGCCGCCGATGCTGACAAGAATCTCACTGGACAGATGGGCAATGATCATTCTCTGGCTGACGGGGCTTGTGGAAAGACGCTGGCAGGCCATTTTACATATCCCGCAGTAGTCCCTGACTTATCCTATACTGCCAGTGGCCTAGCTGCTCTTGCTCGAGTTTCTGGCAAGGCGCTCAATGCGATCACCAAGAGGAAGGCCGAGGTTTTGGATAACCCGCGAGCCAATGTGGCTCAAGAAGCTGGAGGACTGCGTCAAGGAAAGCGAAGAAGGCTTTTACAGCAGACCGGCGAAGATTCTTCTGAAGAGGACGCGAGCTTTACAGCGGGAACGTGCTCAGAGCTAGACTCTACAACCCCCTCTGCAACGACTACCAGGCGTGGTACGAGGCGACGCCCAGCTGAATCGGCAACGGCATCGAGTATCGTGACACTCAAAGTAGATCCATCAGCGCTGTCCAGAATACTCTCCAATAGCGATCAAAATCCTGAAGCCGGCGCGGGCCCACATATCCCTCAGGCTCCTCCCGTTCATGGTACAGACGAGTCCACTATCCATGCCGCTGTTGGCCAAGAAGGCAAGCTTCAGGAACCTTTGGACCCAGACGCAACGCTACCAGATACGACAGCCGAGGGGATCGAGGTTCCTGCCGCCCTGCCAACGGATGAGCAATCCATTGTCGTGGGCTCTCAACAATTAAATCAAGATATGGAGATACCCAATGCCGAGGCAGTGGATGATACACTTATCGACGGCGTGCCTGTGAAGCGTGGAGGCCGTCGAACCAAGAAAGGGTCAGCAAAACCTTCTGCCCGTGGCCGTCCCAAGATTTTCAAATGCGACAAATGTGGAGGAACTTGGAAGAACGACGTTGGTATTAAATACCACCTCGAGAAATCGAAGACACCCTGTAACCCAAACTATGTGGCACCCCTTATTGGACCTCCCGAGAAACTTTTCCCAGCTGCGAAACGATCGACTCTGGCGAAGCGAGCAGTTAATCCTCCTCGACAGATCAAACCTCGGCACTCGAGGTTGTCTGCCCTCAATGACACTCTAGACGATGAGGAAGGCCAGGAGGACGCCTTCGGCTTGCATGAAAGAGGAGATGACGCTGTCACCGCTGCTATACAATCCTTCGAGGCTACTCCTTTCAGGAGCAGAAGACTGCGCACCGATCAGGGAGGGGAATCCGGCGTACTACAGGAGACAAGACGAGGCGCGAGAAGGGGCACAGGCAGTAATCGGAGTACGTCAAAGTCATCAAGTGCACTGAAGCCGCCGGTATCCTCGACGCAGCTGCCCATGAGCGGGCTCATTGATGATCCTGCCAGCGCTGTAAGAGACATGCCAACGAAACATGCCTCACTTCAAATAGCAGTCGGGAAAGCAAGGGGGGAAGACACACCAAAAGCCAAGGGAATGCATATCTCCCCGGAAAGCCGCAGGAAGACTCTCCTAGACACTGCTGGAATCGATCCACCGCAACTTTTGACGCCAACGAGAATGCATGATCATTCGGGGCGACGAGTTTCGCACTCGGGTCCAGCAAAGCGAAGTTCGAATGGAAGTCCCAACCGAGCAGGCTCAGGAGATACGGCAGCACCAGTCATCGAATCCGGTCCACTACCACATGCAGACGCGCTGAGGGCCAGTCTAACCGATAGTAGTACTCTTTCAAAAACACAGACCATGGAACGGGCACTTCAGTACATCCTACATGCGAGTGGTGGTGTCTTCCCCGGAGGCCAGTCTCTGTGGTACGCTACTATCGCTACGTGGGAAACTCTGTTCTCGTCTGAAGAGGCGCCAGACCATCAAATGTACAAAAACGCATTGGCAAGGTTGGCGAAGAAGAAGCAAGTGGTTGTCAGTACGCATGCTTTCAAGAATTCTAAAGGCATGATGGCGAACTACCAATTGATACGGATTCCTGGCATCGAAGCGTCATCCCCGCCAGGTGCAGCTATGAAAGCGAATATCATGGCTCATCACCCAAGACTTTACATCCCGCCGGCCTTCAGGCCCAAGGCAGGAATGCCTGAGGAGGACAAACATGACGCTCAGCCTGTCTTCTCCAGCCGTAGGAAGACAGTTCAGGTGATGGAGGTTCTTGATGCTCCTTTTTATGCCAATAAAGCAGCTAATGAGAGGCCAAATACGCCCCCTGAGGGATCCCAGACCCCAAGGAAACGCAGGAAACGAATGGTCACAAGGGAACAGATCGCCCATGCAGAAGATCAAGGTCCCGATGGAACACGCAAGAGAGACATCTTTCGATTCTTCATGACAGGGCAAGTAGGACCAATCGCTGGGCCCTCCGAATCTCGCGGTGGTGGACGGAGCGGCTGTCCTCCGAATATTGTCTTTCTGAATCCCAACACATATCTGGGACCCGAAATGCCAGAAGACATTCAACACACACCTCTTCCTGAAGCCTCGGCCCCAGAACCAACTTATCCCACGGCCCCGCCAACATCTGACGTGTGCCACGACCAGTTCAACGTAACCTTCGCTCATGCCGACACGATTGAAGGCAATGACGGTACCTGGCCGGCGTGTGAGAGCGCATTCTTCGACACGGAGGATCGTAGCCTGACAATCAGTGGCTGGATGCCCGATTCGCGTTGGTTCCTCCGACAGAACTTGCCTCAAAATCTCTCTGAGATAACAAAGTGGCGAGGGGGGCCTGGACACAAGTTGCCCAACAGCAGCCAATTCTACGAATTCTCCGATCAGGTCGATGCCTGCTTCGACTGGGAGCTGTCAACTGAGGGTATGAAGCTCCTTTTGGCGGGGTCGATCGACCCGGATTATATCTTTATCAACCATGTCGTCGATGACCTTCCCGGCGGATGGGAGAACCCCCAACTTGAATGGGATCCTGTGAACCAACTCAGTCAATCTGCCTTGTTTAGCCTCCACATCGCTGAACAGGGAACGACTGCAACTGACCATCTCTGGGGCGGCGAGATTGGTCGTCAAAGAAAGCGCAAGCGACGACAGACCAAGCTCGGGACCGAGCCCAGAGAGCTTATGGTCGGAATCGATCTGAAAACGAGGACGCTCATACCGTTGCCTAGAGACATGGACCTGAGAGATGCGTCGAGACAGAACGCCGGGCTCGACGAGACGAATGAAACCATCTTGATAGCCGCATTCGTCGTCACAAGAACACTTCTTGGTGGTGCCGACCGAATCATAGAATGGGGTCTCATGATGACCTTGTTCCCCGACATGGCCCTCAGCGCCATGCGACGATTCTGGTCGAAAGCCCGAAAGGATCGTGGAACTTTCATCAGTCAGCTTTCTGAGCGATTCCAGATTCAATTTATCTCAGCCTACGAGAACGATGAATTCCCGCCCATTGACTTTGACAATTATGTCGACTACGACTGGTCGCGCCTTATCAAGTGGACCGCTGGTCTTATTGAGGATTCGCAGGAATTGCCTGCCAGCAAGACTGCTCTGGAACGAGGCTACTCTCTCGGCTCAGCTTGGACGGATATTACCAATTGGCGCGACGAGTACTATAACTTTCAGATGTCTGTCTTTAACAGATTTGAGGCGGCCACTTCACGCCCCGCGACTTCCCTCGTGGACAACGATGGGGGAGCGCTGTCACAGGACAGTGAGGACCTAGCCATTGCCATGTCGTGGTTGCGCTCCCTTTGCTACACGCATCGCGATAAATATGCGCCGCAAGATATCAGGAAGAAGATGGCGAGCATCGGAGGCGGAGACGAGGAGCGCATCCAATCACTTCTTGAGCAAGCGGTCGAGACTCTCCAAGGTCAAGGTGTCATCACGGATAGCAAGCTCAAAGCACTCGAGGGCCGCCCTTACCGCCTCACCGAGACATTCTTGCCGCGATTCATCAAGTGGACTAATGAGGTCAAGTACATCGACGCCGCCAAGTTCAAACAACGACTTGATGTAAGCTTCCGACGGGGCGAAAAGATCCGGATTCCCTATGTCTTGAGGGATGGTGAGGTTATGGCCATGATGAACTTGCAGGCGTACGGAAGAGTTGCCGTCACCACAGTTGATGTCCCGAATATTCCTCTCGGTTTCGACCCGGGCAATTACGAAAGTAGGAAATACCCCAAGTCGTACTACAACTTTGGTCTTGAGATCGAGGCCACAGAGAAGTACGTTTACGATGAAGATTTGGCCCTCCTACAAAAAGCCAAGCACAGCAAGCCGCCAAGGGAAAACCATAACCGGGCGGTTCCACTGTGGTCGGATTTTTTTGGGGAGCTCAACCATGATCGTTGGGCACAAGTTCTTGGCGCAGTTGCGTTCGTTGTCGCAACTCGAGGACCCCTGGATGTCGCGTCCGTTTGTGCCGTGCTCAAACCATATGTACAAGAGTTTGAGGTGCAGATGGTGTTTGACTGGGGGGCAAGATACGGTGTGTTAAAGGGTATTACCTATGGAAAGAGTTTCACCGTGGATGAGTGGTGGTGGCTGGTTGTTGGACAGCAGCGGAATGGGTTGTGAACGACTCATGAAGGAGGATATTATGAAGGTAGTCGGGATAGCACGCGTATGAGAGTAGTCCCTACGAAGTGCAGGTCAAGGGTCCAAAAAATTCATTGGAGTGGTATCCCCATCCCGTTGGGAACATGGGCTTTTGGCTCAGTGGCCATCGTAGCAATAAAACAAAGTCTACAAGTTTCCGGATGACGATATATCATGGACATGGCCAAGCAAAACCGCCTAAATAACCTCAACCAGACGCCAGCAACCGTGAAACAAACAGATTCTCGCATCTCAGCGTTCATCCAGGGTGACGGGGGCTGGATCCCCTCATGCAAATTGTAGGAGCATCATCGTAACTAAAAGTCAAGCAAGACTTTGAGAATCATGGCCAGCAGAAGTACAACGAGAACAACAATGGCTCGATCAACCCACAGTGGTACGCCTTCGTCATACGCACGGGTGGTAGGAGGTGCCTGGGGGCGAACACTAAGATTTGGGGCCGGAGGCAGCGAGACCGTCCGTGTAGGGGTGATAATCCCTTGACCTGGACGCGCAGGAGGGTAAGATGCCGCCGTTGCTGGTGATTGTGATGTTGATGCCGAACTGGCCGCCACGACTGTCTCAGGTGCCGTACGAACAAAGCCCTCGGCCAGCTCGGCACTCTCTGCATCCGCCGGTTCGGTTCTTGGTGTCGGAGGCACCGGTGTCACTGCTTCCGTGGATCCTCCTTCTAAGACCTTAGACTCAGTCATCTCATCCTTGTATCCAAGCTTCAGCTCGGAGGGTATCTCAACTTCAGTCGCTGAATCTGGTGAGTCGGAATTGGCCTTGGCCGATTCTTCACATTCTTGGATGATTTCAGTATTTGTCTTTGCACACGTTGGGCATTTGAATGTGTGCGATGCGATGGCATGACGCTTCCGCACAGAATCGCTTGTCTCGAGGCCGCCCAGCTGGCCTCGGGGGTCCGTCTCCATGAAGCTGCGCAACCTTTTATCTTGTTAGTTAACGGGGAAACATCTCTAATAGGGACTGGAAAGGCAGAGAGAGGGAGTCCCAGGCTGAACATACGCGACGAGTGCAGTCCTCACGCCCCACGCAGGCTGCCACGTCTCTTCGTGGTGGCCGCTGATGCTTAGACAAATCTCCCTGTTGGTTTCGAAACGGCCGCTGGGTGTAAGGAACCGGAAACTCGGCGGGCGGAGAGGATATGTAGGCGGCAACACGATACGGCCATGGTAGATGCCTTCGCTGTAGGAGGAGTTGGGTGGCCCGCGGAAAGTGAAGTGCCATTCGAATAGATCTGATTCTAATGGAGTAGCCGTATAATCTGGTGATGGAGAGCTGGAGAGTTCTTGGGCTTCGCGCACTGATTTGGGTCCGATTGATTAGCGAGCTTCTGAGTGGTCAGATGGATAAGAATCCAACGTTTGAGAGGCATCTTACATATGCGCCGTATAGTCGGTGACTTTGAGTTGAACTTAGGAGTTGCCATGTTGCATACGCTGGTTGTTGTAGATTTAGGTGATGTAATCGTCCGCTGATCGATAATCGGCGTAAGTCGTCGTGTCTAGATATCCAGATGACAAAATAATCCAGACCGGGAAGAGGTGGCTTTTTATTGAACGAGCGAGCGTCTGTGTCGGGTTAGGTCGCAAAAGTTTGCGTAGAAGAATGGATAGTTGATGCAGGCGCAGATAGACAGGCTGGTGTTGAACAAGTGTATGAGTGTATGTATGTGTACGTGACAGGTGGAGGGATAGGTGGCACTAACCATCTCATGCCGCGACTGTCACTGGAGTTGGGGAGGGGTGGGTTCTTATCCGGCCGGGGGGGGCTTAACGGTGGAATCGACGACCACCTAAGGTACCCTGACGCCGCTAATTGAGTGCCCAGGGGTTTGAGCCTTTGTACTGACCTGGAGAGTAGGTACTGCGGCAATGAGGCGCTGCAAGTTTGAACTCGGAAGAATGAGGTGCTGCTAGCCAAGCACCCAATGGAAGGTTGGTGGGTACCGAATAGGTATCCATCCCTAAGGTAAGGAACGGAGTACCTAGGTACCTACGTGGCTTGCAAGTCTTGACAAAGGAGACACGTACCGAGTGAATGGAGCACGAGTCACTCAGTGCTCTTGGGTGGGTAGTCCCCTGGGCCAAGACGAAAAGAGAGACTTAGAATGCACTTTCTGCCATTGGTCCAACACTCCGGCACAAGCCGACTTACCTAAGCATCCAAGGACCTCTCAGATTGTCAGTCCGTCAACGACGTTTCTTCCTACGGGACTGATGAACGGCCATCACTGTCCGAATTTCCCGACCTAGTTTCCCAGCAAAGCTTAGAACGCCTAGAGGCAAAGGCGAATCCGAGGTATGTGAGCCCACTCGACCGGACTCAATTGAGTTTCTGGCGGCCTGCTGACGAGTTGCAACCTCAAGAATCCCTCCATCCATTCCTCTCCCTCGAGAATCTTCCCGGAACGACGCGCCTGGCGTATCGACTTTCGCCATGTATACCGGCCCCAAGCCTCCGACGCCTCACGTCCCTGGTGTGTACCGCTTCACAGCGACTGCCCTGGGCGCTGGCATGTGGTTCTTCGTATGTCCCTTACCGAAGCCCTTATTGATACCGCGAGGCCGAGGAAGCTAATGTCATTCTGCGCCATCGATAGCTCATGTACCGCGCGAAGAAAGACGGTATATTCCCTACAACTTTCGATAATACTGATTGCGTGATTGCTGACGGAAATGTGCAGGAGCTGTGTTGCTGGGCTGGAAGCACCCTTGGGATCACTGAACCGAAAGCTCTAAAGATGGGTGGTCTAGTGAACAAGAAGTTTGAGGAATACGCGCAAGATGCGCGATATCAACAGATCATTCGGCATTCGCCAGTCCAAAAGTCAGGCAAATATAGGCAGAGGAATCAACGATTAGCTACTCTATTATGGGTGCAAAGCAATTGCGGCAAGCCCAACCATGCTTGGGTTCATCTCTGTCCGTCACTTCTTCTACTGAGTGTTGGGCTTTTCGAAGAGGTAGTGCGACACGCCCCAGGTATCCCCGCCTTGGTAGGCGAACAGCTCGGAACACGCCAAGTAGAAGATTTGCCATCTGTTGAACCACACGCTGGCGTTCTGCTCCCCATACGTCTCGACCAAGTGCGGCCAGATCTCTTTCTTATGCGCAAGCATCTTGCTCAGCCAGTGCTTGATGCTCGTGTTAGCTCGTCATACTGAGACTGATGTACGGTAGAAAGGCGATCGGCGGCAGCTTACCTCGCACGTCTTGGAGTAGTGTTGTCCGTTGACCCACCACTGCTTCTGAATCTGTAAGTCCCGCTGGAAGAATAGGAGCAGGTCGGTGGAAGGCATAGTGCCTCCTGTGAAGAAATACGTCGTCATCCAGCCCTCCTCACTGAGGTTTTCCGCGGTCAGCGCTTCCCGATAATGCACAACATCGCGGCCGTTACTCACTAATCGTAGGGAGTGGTCCTGTGGGCAAAGATATGGACAAAAAGCTTGCCACCAGGCTTTAAGGCCCTGCCCACCTTTGCCATAAGGAGCTCGTAGTTTTTCATGTGCTCAAATAGCTTTTGTTACAGTCAAAATCCTTTTCATCGGACGCATCTAGCGGTCAGGGAAAATACAAACCTCGATGGAGACAACTCTGTCAAAAGACTCCCGCTCGAACTCATAGTCAACAACGTTACCTGTGATGACCGTGAGGTTTGATAAGCCCTTCTCCTTGGCTTTCCCATCGATGTACTCCTTCTGCGTCCTGGAGTTGGAAAAGGCCGTGACCTTGGAGTTAGGAAGTACCTCGGCGAAGTACAGCGCTCCTGATCCCCAACCGCAGCTGTAACGGTCAGTCAGGCCCTAAATCTAACATATGATCTCACGATGCATGGGAAGGGCCGGAGACGACTCACCCGAGATCCAAGATACTCATACCATCCTTTAGTTCCGCCTTTTCAATATACGTCTGTAACATGGCCACTTCCGCCTGTGCCAATGTCTCGCCTCCCTTGGGGTACAGACAGCACGAATACTTCATGCGGGGGCCAAGGCATGCGGCGAGGACACCGGTGCCAACCTCGTAGTGCTGCTTGTTGGCCGTAGCGGTCTCAATTGCAATGGGTTGAGTGCGCAATTTCTCGATAAACGTCATCTTCCGCTCGTAATCGAGGCCGAGAGACGTGCTCGCGATGGAGTCGAGACGCTCCTGAAGCTGGCGCCGAATGCCTATCCTGATGACGGCGTTGGGCAGGTAGCCGCTGTCGAGAATCCAGTCTAGATGTTGCGTTAGAGAGCTGTTGTCGAGTCACATGCTGACTTCACAATGAGCTTCATGAGGCTTGTATGCGAGGACGTACCCATGTTCATCTTCGCGGTAGAGGTGATTCGCGAAGGTTCAGTGGAATGAGAGAGGCAGAAATAAGGGATTGACCGTCTCTGTGGCCCGAGTCCCAATGCGTGAGGTTGTATTGTACTTTGAAACCCAAGCGATGTCCGAGCACCCGCTTCGAGTGAGGTCTAAAGCAATATGGGTTGTTGGTTGATGCGAGGTGTTTAGGCTACTTCAATGGAGATTACTGGTATGAGACTTGGAAGTAACAGGTAGCAGGCGAAGCTTGACCTGAATGATTGTATCGACTAGCTAGCTGTGATTGTGGCTGGGTGGCAGGTCGCAGGGTGCGACCGCGACCCCGGCCACTCGGAGCCGGAGCGACCCGCCTGGGCTAGTTCGGCACCGGAATGCGGGTCGGTGGATCATCGATGACACCTTCATTTATGGTCAACTCAGGTAGCTTGATACAGCACGATCCTTGACATCCGAGCTAGAAACCGAGACTGAGAAGTTCGCATTCAGGGAGAAACTAGATTTAATCGTCACACTCGATTCCTTATTTTAATACATCAAGGCAATGCTCGCCAACTTTACGTGGAATTATGGCAGCGTGTGCGATCAAGCCGCAAAGGCATCTCTTCAACCTTGTAATCCTACAACTCCATGTGCTCCAAAATGATTTTATACTCCTTTCTTTGCTTCGGCTTCTTCAGGAAGTTTTCTTTGAAACGTCCCACGGCCCGAGCCAGCTTTTGGAAGAGGTACTTTTCTGATATCCATGCCGCGACCAAGTAAACGCCCCCGAGTAGAATCATGAAGAGCTCAAAGTCCCAGCTTGTCTTGGTAAGTTGCATCAGGTGCCTTACTGAATGCCCCGGGCCAATGATCATCCATATTGTGATTGAAAGGGTTGCCACGATGGTTGTCATAAACGGCCCTTTTCATTGTTAGTTCCTTGGACAAATGTTGCTGCAATCCGACTTCACCTACAGTTCGTCATCGCCTTTTCTCTGAAAGGAGGGCCCGCGTTGAGGACCACACCCGCCAAGATGTACTCGAAACAGGACACCAGAAATAGAACCGTGTTTTCCGAGTTCTTGATATTCGACTTGTCATGGTTGACACGTGGGGGTACGTACCTTTTCTTGTAGTTAGCAGTGCGTAAAGATGATGGTGGGAGCAAGGTAGGAAGCGCTCACCATGACTGCTTTCGCACGGCGACATATACAGCAGTTTGCACGAGTATACAAATGACCATCTGGCCCAGTAACGGTATGAGCACCTTGCGAGAGACGAGGTCTGCAGTTGGTCGCTTTCGTGACAAGACAGGGTATGGCCCAGCCCAGCTCACTACGATACTTATAAGCGTTTTATTCAACGGTTCTGAACTAGACTCATGACTTACTGAAAATGGCAATAGGAAGAATCAACAGTAGATCAATGAATAGGAACTAAAGAGTGATCAGCCAGTGATGACGCTTTGGGCGATCATGTCAACTTACTTGAAAGTCACCGAGATTAGAAGCTGTAGCATAAAGAAAGCTGACGGACGTGAACTGGATGGCCGAGTACAAACTCATGTACTTGAAGCAACTGAAACTCGTCACAAGTGCAGCACGACCCTCGCTAAAGATATGTGTTATGATGATACTCTGCTTCGTGGGGGGTGAAAACACTTACCGGATAACCTGGGGAACGCAACCGATGTCGAAGACGCGTGACGTGAACGGAGCTGCAACAGAAGCTTCCGCCTCTGAGAGGGAGATGCCGACATCTGCAGCCTTGAGAGCGCCGCAATCATTCGCACCGTCACCACAAAAGCCACAGCAGTACCCGATCGCTTGCAATTTCTCAACCAGTTCGTGCTTTTCATCTGGAGACATGCGCGCGAAAACTCGACCACGGACCAGCATCTGAGATCGTAAGCATAGGCAGCCAGGTGGCACGCTCCGGGGGATGAACATACTCTCCGCAACACCAACGGAGGCGCGAAGTCCACAATCCAGCGAAAAATCTCGCCGCTGACTGCTAGAGAGTAATTGCGGATGTCATTGATGTTGTATGCCAATGATGCGTCAACGTCAGCCGGAGGTGGTAGTGGCTGTGCAACAAAGTTAGCTTTACAACAATGTCTTTAGAATTGGAATGAACTTGCAAGAAGACTCTGTTCGTTCAGCTGGAAACCCCCGTTATCAATGCTCTCCCACCGTAGCCGAGCCTTTGGGTCACCGGCGTTGCCTGCTTACTGTTAGAATCAATCAGATACCTCACTTGTCGCCACTTGCCTTCTATGAATCTCGGAACGAAGCAGTGCGCAGTCTTGTTGATCAAGTTGCATTCACGAGCAACACTGATGGCAGTCAAGATGTTGTCACCTGTCACCATCGTCGTACTGATGTTCGATTCCAGTAGCTCAGTCAGTACAGGCGCTGTGGTCGGCTTGAGCTTGTTTTCGAAAATAATGAAACCAGTGAATTCCAGTTGAGACTCGGCCTCGTGTCGCTTCATTTTCTGGGCTTTGACCCAGCTGAGTTTTGGAATATGGCGAGCTGCGCAGCCAATGACGCGATAACCCTTGTGTGTATAGTAGGCAAGCTGATCATCATAGTCGACTGGGACTATATGTTGAAGAGGACATTCAAGGTCAGTAGTGCCCTTCGAGGTACACCTAAATCAGTTCAGTAGATATGGATCACTCACAGCTGTCTTCGCGACATATTTCCCGCATGCATTCAGGAGCGCCTTTGACATATATGTCCCCACTTTGCTGTCCAAACTGTCGAACTATGACGCTTGCTCTACGGAGCTGCGAAACGAATTCGAAGGACCTCAGTACCCCCAACTCAAGCAATTGCTGGTTAAGTGGGTTAGTCTAGCTTTGATCGACAGGGGTCCGCAGCCTACCGATTGATCTCCTTGTTGAGTGGCGCCTCGCAGAAGAGCATCATGCTCAGCTGGAGGTCGGGCGACTGACGGCGAAAGGCTGCCCTGGTCTTGGTCGTCTGCCTCGTTGGGACTTTGTTTGCCTTCTTCGAAAGACCACCTTGTAAACTCAAACATCTTGAGGTCAAGTGGATCACCCATCAGCTCGTCGTCCACAGACCTCAACGAGTGGCAAGTTGCCATGGTGTACAAGGCTGCCCTCAATTTTGACATCTGGGCTGGACCGCCGGCCTGCGCCTGTACGAACGACGATGGATCGGTAAGCACCTCCGTGAACCTGCCTGTTACTGTTGATGAAACCCGAACACCGAGTATGTCCAATCCGTCCTCTGTTAGGGTGCCGGTCTTGTCAAAGCACATGATGTCAATCTTACCACCTACGTTGACCCGCTGTGGACTGATGCAAAAGATTTGTTTCTTCTTCAGTCGGCCCAGCGCGAAGTTGGTCCCAATGGTGAGCGTCGCGGGTAGCGCTGGCGGCACCACGATTGTGATAAGATCGAGAGCACGGACGATGATGAGGTGCCAGGCAAGGTGCAGCCGCAGGAAATTGAAGAGAGAGGCGATGAAACCAAGCATGGCTACGATAGCCATGACACTGATGTACCGGAAAGAGTCTCTGTAGAATTTGAAGCCGGATGGTTTGGGGAAGAGCATGGACCGTACAAGGGATCCCTTCGTGGTGCTGAATCCCGTTCTGACCACGAGTGCGAGGGCGACAGCGTCTCCATCACGCTCTTCCTGCGGTCGCCGGGCGCGAATGATCTTGGTACCACAGAAGAGGAAGTGTTTACCAATCTCTGGCGACACGGTCGGTGCAGCCAAATCGAGACTATACATCGTCTCATCGGTGGCCGGTGTTTTAGACACAGGGACCGATTCACCTGAGAGCGAGATGTAAGCCAAACAAGTTTCACTCATGCGGAAGTAGGACTTGCGAGTGAAACTCACCTGTCAGCATGCTCTCGTTAACGATGCAGTCTCCGCTCAAAAGCAAGCCGTCGCTCGGAAATTGAGTCAGATTTGGGTCGCTGACCTCGTAAACGTCACCAGGCACGAGCTCACTCGAGGATACAAATCGCCCTATGTCCGTCAGGATTTCGAGCAAGTTTATACGGCAGCTGAGTCCTTACAGAATCCATTTCGAAGTACACGCACATCGCACTCGAAGCGAGAAATCTCGCGGAGTCGTTTCATCGTCTGTTTCATTAGCCTCCGGTTATACCAACAAAAGACAATGGTGAATTCGACCTACCGCTTTGGTTTCAATGAGGGTGGTGGCAATACTTCCAAACGACATTAGGAAGATAGCCACGGCGTAGTAATAATATTCGTCAAGAGACCACAGAATCAGGCTGGCAATCTGAAAGACGTAGAAAGGATGAAAAACCTGGAACGATCAGTATCTCGACCTACCACTACAAACGATTTCTTACCTCATCTACGAGCAACTGCGGTGTTGATTTTTGTTCAATATCAATCAGGTTATTCCCAAAAACAACTGCTCGCAGTCCCTTCTCATCACTGTCTATGCCAGCACGCACGGCGCGAGGATCGGTCCAATTCGGGTCAACCCAGCCGTTGAATATGACAAACTTGTCCTTTTGCTGGTTGAAGTACAAGCGAACATAACGATAGTTGAGCATGCGTAATTCGGTGATGATTGGGTCGTAATCATCATCTACCCCGTAGCTCTTTCCAGTGTGGCCAAAGATGGTAGACATAGGTCTACCGTACAGCTTTTTGTCTACGTCCATCAGGGCAAATTCTCCCCATTGATTCTAGACGAAGTCAGCTCATGTGCAACAATAGGGGGAACGCATAGTTTACCTCGACAACAACCCAGTCACACTCGGCCAGTGGAGACGGCAGACCCAAAAGTTTTACATGCCATCTAGGAAACCATCTGAGTAGTAGCCAAGCGACACCAGCAGTGCATAGGCAAAGTGCGACATAAGCAGTGAAGCCAAGTCGACTTGTCCGAAAGCCAGCAATGGCAATGGTAAGGTCCTCATTCA